CCACCCCCTCCAACCCACCCCCACTCTAAATAAAAATATTATTAATAGTACTTTATTTTCATGTTATAGATAGGTTCTTTTTTCATTTCAACAAATGAATATTTTTTTTTATGATATAAAAAAGTATTTTTTTATTTTAATAAAAAAAACTTTTTTTTCATGTAGGAAAAGTATTTTTTTTCATTTCAACAAAAAAATACTTTCTTTTCGTGATGTAAAAAAAGTATTTTTTTCATTTCAACAAAAAGAGTATTTTCTAAAAAACTATTTTCCTAAAAGAAATATTTTCTACTCTCTAACCAAATACTAGAAAATATTTTTCGAAAAATATTTTTTACTCACCAACCAAACAAGGGAATAAGTGATAAAACCTCTCATTTTAAATGAAAATATTTTCTAGGAAAACATTTTGCATGAAAAACATTTTCCTTCATATCAAATACACCCCTTCAGTCTTTCATTCTCTTTTGAACTATAATTGAGTAATTTGCCAATCATTTACCCCGCAATTTATTAGCCAAAACACCACAATCTGAATCATATATCACGAGTTTGAATTCAATAACCTCCAAGCTACTGACATCTAGTTAGAATTTCTTTACTAGTATCTTGTTCATTTTATTTTCTTTAGCTCAAGGTTTACTAATCCTATTTATTCAGTAAAATTAAAAAAAGAAAAAGAAAAAAAGAAGTTGGTTGGTGCCCGTGGGTTATAGAAATTTAGGAGGGACAGGCAGTTTGCTTTTTGTTCTGGAAATAAAAGCATTATTGGGAGCACGCAGTAGCAGTCATCATTGACTTCGTCACGTCTGCCAATTCTTGTTTCCTTAGGGATGGTGTTCCCACTGTCAAGTGTCAAGTGATGTATATTGGGTTGGAGTATATCCTATGAGAAATAACTGTCTCAACCGATAGTGACACTACAGGCATACTACAGTAGAATCCCAAAATTTTATGGTTACGGCTTCGAGCCGTAGAAATAGCTATTAATATTTGCATTAGGGTAGGTCGTCTACGTCACACCTCTTAGTTTGCGGATCTTACCCGGATCATGTATGAACGTGGAATACTTTGTGCATCGAACTGCTCTTTTTTACCTTTAATGAAGATGACCACTAAAGCTAATTAGGCAAAGTAAAGTGACACTTGGAAGATGAGAAAAAGATAAATGACTTTGATAGCCAATTAATCCAAGTTGAGTGACCATCTAACCAATCTAACTCTTTTGGAGTTTGCGTTGCCCATCATGTTGATATATTTTCATTTTTCAGAAAATTTTAGAGAGGCTAGGGCTGGTTACATTAAAGTCCTTGACTGTCACTGTTATGGGGTTATAAATAAGAAAAGGACGTGCATAATCATTTACTGGAGTACCCGTTTTAAGAGTAAAAGGTGTAAGATATAAGTCTAAGTTCTATATATAGTAAGTTGTTGTGGTGTAGTGGTTATTTATTTTGCTTTTACTCCCAAATTTCACTTGTGTGATTATAATGATTATGTTGTTGGTTTTGACTTGTTGTTATTGTGGTCTACGTTCTATGTATACACAGATAGTTATAAGTTAATAATTACAGATAAATTTAATTTATATATATATATATAAAAGATGATAATGCATGGCTCTGTTACAGAGCTTGAAGTAGCTGCAGTTAGCACAGTCCATTATCTGTTCTGTTGGCCTTTAGGAAAACAGACTGTCTGGGATTTCCGGGTCCATTTATGATTGCTTATTTGTTATTATGTGAGTAATTAATATCTATATCTTCAACTCACATATGGCGACAGTTTGAACTTTCTTTTCTGAACCCACAGTTTATTTCCCTGCCTTCTTTTGTATACATACATAAGCATAATCAATTTCAGCAAGAATATGCAACAATCTATACCTCAAATCCTCAATTCTAAGTAAGTTGGATCGGCATCATCGGCTGTATGAATCTTCATTGTTCATGTCATTGCATTTAAGTCCGTCTGAATATATCTAAATATATATTGTGAGGATATCATCATAAATTGATTAATTTTATGTTTGTAGTTGTCAACCTATCGCAATTCTCATCCTTTATCCGGACTTGGGACTGGCACTGCGAGCAAGCATATCTAAACATTTTCAAATAACCAAAATACTCTCAGAAGACTGTCTTCAATTCTGGGGAAAGTTAACTAACATAACAAGTTTTAATTCACAGTAGTTTCCAGGACCTGGTTCAAGTAAGAACAATGCTTTGTTGCTTTTTCAATACCCAATGGAGGGTTCCAAAATGTTAGGTGGTTTAGCTGCTCACTATAACATACAACAACAACAACATACCTAGTATTATCTCAAACCGTGAGATTTGGGAAGGATAGTATGTACGCAGACCTTACCCTACCTTGTGAAGATAGAGGCTGCTCATTATAATGTAAGAACAAATAAGTAAGGATCAGCTTTTTGACCGCTATAGTTGCAGCCAGCTACAGTACTTTTCCAGGCTCCAACTCCCCGAAAACCTTTTCTGGACTTATATAAGTTAGCTTCTCTGTCTAAAATAGCAGCCCGGTGCACTAAGCTCCCGCTATGCACGAGGTCTGGGGAAGGGCCGGACCACAAAGGTCTATTGTACGCAGCCTTACCCTGCATTTCTTCAATAGGTTGTTTTTACGGCTCGAACTCGTGACCTCCTGGTCACATGGCAATAACTTTACCAGTTAAGCCAAAACTCCGCTCAACAACTTTAGCTTCTCTGTCTATGGAGTTACATTCTTTCCTCCAAATTATATTGCTGCATGCTATCTCACTGCAAAATGAGTGTGGTCCTCTCTGTATGTACTAAGTGGAAAGGCTTTTAAGAACTTGTATGGTTGGTCCCTCCTCTACAAGTGTAGCTGTTCTACTATCAATTATCTCATCCACCTAATGAACTACAACATCATGCACCACAAACTTAATTTGGCTTTCCACTTGCTACAGTTTTATATAATTAGTTTTGAGTTTGATCTAAAACAATATAAAGAAATTTTTACAATATTAAGTGATTCAAAAGATACTTATAGGTAACCCTCCGTAAAACAAGCTAGTGAAATTTGTAATCTTGAAATAAGATATTATTTTACAATAGATGAAAATGTATATATTTGTTGAACTGTCAGTGTACATAAGTTAAACTCGTCGATTTTTCTTTCTGGCATTAAATTATAAAGCTAGTGAAATTTGTAATTTTGAAATAAGACATTATTTTACAACGGTTGAAAGTGTAAACATTCTTTGAACTGTATGTGTATATAAGTTGAACTTGTCGGTTTTTCTTTCTGACATTAGATTAATAATTGTTTTATAGTAGCTATAACTATTCATGCCATTTATCTCAATTAGTGGAATTACTACAACAAATAGCAGAAACAACTTTTAATCCCTTTAAAGAGGACAGAGATGCAATAAAAACCTAGTTGATTAGATACTAACTTTTCACTAGCTAGTTGGAAAAAAAGAAGAGAAAAGCAATAACTCCTTTTTCTTTTTCCAACTCTAGGGTGGTCCTTTTGAGGTTAACACCCTATACCTTACTTATGTAGCATCATAATTAACAGTATTTAACCAGCAAACTAACTACTTCTTCATTATGCAAAAATTGTTCTTTGTGTAGTCTAAACTTGTTTAAATTCCTATTAATACGTTACGTATTATCTTGAATCGATAACACGTGGCTACAAATTCGCCATACCTTTTTCTTCATAGTAAGATTCTATTACATTTCTCCTTTTCTAAAACTTTAACTTATCCTATAATATAAGTTTATTCTTTGCACATGAGTTAGGTTTCTCGTCAAAATTGCTTTAGTCACTCATCTTGATACAAGGCAGGAGGAACAAGAGGAAATTAAAGAGAAAAAATTGATTTTTTTTTTAAGAAGAAGGAGGGATTATTACTTCACGAGCCAATACTAATAATCGAAAGGCGGTAATAACCATTGTACATCTCAGGGAAGAATCTTTTCTTCTCCAACTATATATTGGTAAGTGATCAAACCAAGATTTTGTTTACCCTAATTATCTACTGAGGTTCAATTTTATGGATGGAAAATTCAAGTTGCATAAACATCAAGTCCTACCTAATTGTCTTCACAGTAAGCTTCTAGAATTGTTAACAAGAAATCTCACACTAATAAATTTCTCTTGATTAATTACCTCTTTTGTTACATTTTTGTTGAATCATAACTTGCAATATGTTAAAGAATCATCATAGCAAATCAAGACTTCTTCATTTAGTTTTCTCAATCTTCTTGTGGGAAAGAGTAGCTAGATCTTTTTTTAAATCCTCATCAAACAAATTAAAATCTTTACTACATCTAATTGAACCTACTTTAATTTCTTCATCTTTCTATTTTGTTGGTTTTCTGTAGATCATCAGTAATGACAAAAACAAGTTGATGATGAATCCAAGTGGAAACAAATCTCAGGCTAATAAGCAAGAAGCAGATCATGATCATGACACCAATAAGAGTAAAATCTCAAGGACTCCATCATCAAGTTCAAGGCAGTCATGGGCAGGCTTTAAAAATCCAAGAATTGTGCGCGTTTCGCGTTCATTTGGAGGGAAAGATAGGCATAGTAAGGTTTGCACTGTAAGGGGATTAAGAGACAGAAGAATTAGACTTTCAGTGCCTACTGCAATTCACTTGTATAATCTTCAAGATAGACTTGGGCTCAGCCAACCTAGCAAAGTTATAGACTGGTTACTTGATGCTACTAAACATGAAATTGATAAACTTCCACCTTTGCAAATGCCACCACCATCTCTTTCTCACTTCTTCAATAATACAAATACATATATGAGAGATGGATCAAATCAAGAATTGTTGTCTATCAATGAATCTGGGGCTAAAATAGGTGACCATTTAATGAGAGAAGCAGCATTTGGAAAAGACAAGTGGATTGCCTCAAATGAGCAAGAAAATCAGGATGGTACTAATATTGGAAGTTATGTTCCACTACTTTCATCTCAAAACATTTCTTCTTTACCTGCAGGCATGTTAAATAGCAATATGCCCTTCAATAATAACTACCATAACTTGTCTTTAGCTCTATTTGGAAATAATAACCATACCTTTTCATCACAAACAGAAGATAATCTTCCTATATCAGTAGCATCATCCAATTATATGTCTTTTCCTTCAGGCTCTCATCAATTATATTTCTGTCCAACTGCTACAACATTGTCATCTCTTGTTCCAGCTCCATTTATGAGTACCACTAATTCACAGCTCAACCACTTCCATTTTTTAAACTCAAGTACTACTAATTCACAACATGTCCTTCCAAATCCGCTCGCGCCAACTCTTCAGTTAATCAGTCCCCCTGTGAAAACTTCCAAGACGAATGACCATCCTAATGGGATTAACTCACAAGATAATGGTGATCTTGACAACCAGTAATTACCACATAAAGAAGGCAGTGGTTCTTAATTAGCATATGGATTAGAAGAAATTGCCACATGGAAGTTGCTCTATCTTGGGACTTAAGGTAGAAAGCTTCAACTATATATATGCCTTGAAAAGCCTCATTCTACACCTTGTCCCGGATACAGCAAATATAAATTTGCTACATTCTTGCTTCTTTACAGATATACAGCATTTAGCAAGGTACATTCTGTCTCTTTTATGTTTATAAATTTTTTTATCTCTTTAACTACGGAAAATAATATGGATATTGGACTAATTGTTCTACTACCACTATACGTGGTAATTCTTTATTTTTTTTTTTACTTTTTATTTAACGACCTAATGTGTAAACCAACCAAGTTACCGTTGCACCATAAGGCAAAGCTACGTCAACATAAAACACTAGTATATCTTGCAGGGGCGAATGCAGCATTAAGGTATTGGGTTTATCTGAATTTACAATATTTTTATTTGGAGCATAATTTATTCTAAAAATCTATTATAAATGCATTAGATAGTAGATATGGACCTATAACATTAAAAATAAAATGGGTTCGGTCATAAGGATTTTAAGATCGCATAAATCATAAAGCTGAAATCTTGCACTTCTCCAAGTGAGGTTAGGGGTTGATGCCCTTTCATGTGTTTTTATTAAGTACTTTTGTCTTCTTCTTTTTTGCTTTCTTTCTTTGGTTTATTTTTTCTAATTTCTAAGTCTAACACATTAAAATTTATTCTCCTTTTCTCATCGTAAGATTTTAAATAATAAAATTAAATGTATATTAAAACTAGTAGTAGTTGATCGAGGATATAGCAAATTGTCCATCGGTTCAATTGATCCCAAAGTTTCTGGCATATAGTATAGATAAATATGTACAAAAGCTAATACGTCAAATAGTTAGAACCTAATGGTTGAACGTTAGCCCGTTAAATTTATATTTTGGATCCACCTCTTCATATAGTGCAACCATCTTCTCGAAATGCTAGATCCGCCTCTACGTGACACGTGGAACCATTATATCATACGACACTTTGAGCTTGAGCATACACATATACATTAAATTATTTTTGGAAAATATACTAATATTATTTTACATGATTGAAAGAGAGGAGCATAAGTTCACGCATACATTATTGTTACTTGAGACATTTTCAAGTCCATCACACTATACTTCAGTACAAATTTAACTCATAAATCTTAAGTTTTTTGGTAATAACTGTGAAATATTACCATTAACAAACCAAATGATTCTTTACAACCCGTTGGAGCGATCAGTACTATAACCACCTCCTATGAAGGTTGTTACACTCTCTGAATCTCCGAAAAAACAAAAGACCACTATTTACAAATCCTTTGTATCACACTGTGACATTTCCTAGCTCTCTTTATATTCCCTATCCAGTCTATCCTTTCCCTAATCTCTCTTTGTATCTGCCCTATTACAAAATCTGTATTTACATCTATGTTTCGAAATATTTTCCAGTTTCTTGCTTTCCAGGTATAGTATATAGTTGCTCCCACAATTGCAACAACTATCTCCTTCTTGAACTGCTTCTATCTACTTCTCTTAATCCATCGTAAGCTAGTTGTTGGATCTTCCTATGCTAGTTGAATCCCCGCCCATTTTGTTATAGCATTCTTTACCACTTTGATCCAACTACATGTGGTAAATAGGTGAAGCTGCTTTTCCTTAGTATCCTCTGTGCTTAGGCTACATTTGTCATCATGAATAGGCACTTGTATTCTCTGCAATCTTTCCTTTGTTAACAACCTCTCTTGATATGCCAACCATTGAATTACTCTTTGTTTAGGCAGCATAATAGTACTCCACACCAGATTTACAACATTCATTTTTGTAGGACTCCCTAGTATAGTTAGATAGCTTCTGCTTACAGAGTATTCACCTTTAGTAGTCATGACATACTCTCCATTATGATACCATTGCTTCATCGTATCCTTAAGGGCATTTATTTTTTTCAGTACCAGCTACAATCCTGTGGTGGAGTGTGATTCCAGAAATCTCCATTTGTCTTCATATACACTTCATTTACCCATTTCACCCATAACACATCTTTCTTCACAGCCACTTGCCAAAACAGTTTGCCCACAGATGCTATATTCCATTCGCTGCAGCTTTTAATATTTAGTCCCCCATATTTCTTAGGCACACACACTTTGTCCCAAGCAACTAATGTCATTTTCCTTTTCTCCTCATTGCCCCCATAGGTAATCTATGCATTTCCTGTCTAACTCGTTCAATACACTTTGATGTAAGATGAAGACTGCACCCCAGAAATTGTATATAGAGAACAATATTACATTGATCACTTGTAGTCTACCAGCATAGGAAAGATTCTTTGCATAGGCTTGCTTTATTTTTTCGGTTATCTTTTCCATCAATTGAAAGCACTCTATTTTATTCCACTTCTTAGATGAAAGGGGCAATCCTAAGTATGTGATAGGCAGTGTTCCTTTAGAGAATCCTATATACTGCAAGATCCTAGCATGTTCATCCTCTTCCATACCAGCTAGAAAGATGTTTGACTTCTCTAAGTTTGCCATCAAGTCTGTCACAACAATAAAGTGGTTTAGTGCTTCCATAACTCTCGTTATAGATGCTAAATTTCCTTTGCAAAAGACCATCAAGTCATCTGCAAAAATCAGGTGTGTCAACTTGGTAGCCTTGCACATAGGGTGATATCTGAAGTCCGGCAGATCACTCATTATTTTCAGCACTCGAGTGAGATATTTCATAACCAATACAAACAAAAGTGGTGATAGAGGATCGCCTTGCCTCAGCCCTCTTCTCCCTTCAAAGAAGCCAAATCCTTCCTCATTAACCTTCAATGTGAATTTTGTAGAGGTTACACAAGTCATGATCAACTGAGTCACTGATCAAGGGAATCCAAATCCATTCAAAGCTTCTTCAATGAAATCCCAACTCACCATATCATATGCTTTCCTCAAATCAATCCTCATAAGACACCTAGATGATGTCTTTCTGTTGTAGTGTCTTAAGAGGTCATGGCATATAAGCACATTGTGAATGAGTGATCTACCCTCAACAAATGCTGCCTGATTCTTATCCACAATCAGTGGAAGTATGTCCTTAAGTCTTGCACATATCATTTTAGATATGCATTTGTAAAGGACATTGCAATAAGATATGAGTCTAAATTGGCTTGCATTCTGTGGAATCTTCACCTTAGGTATTAGTGTAATTACAATTGAGTTGATCTGTTTTAGCAGCTTACCATTCTCAAAATATTCCAGTACAGCTCCTATTACCTCCTCTCCTACCACATTCCAAGCATCTTGGAAGAATCCACTTCCAAAGCCATCTGGCCCTGGACTCTTATTTCTATCAATACCAAACATTGCCTCATTTACATCCTTGTCTGTATAAGGTCTTAATAATTTTAACTGATCCTCTACAGATAAAACATATCCATTCTTTATAAAACTTCTAAATGCATTAGTTCTTTCCTTTTCTTTTTTCCCTAGTAAGTCTATGTAGAAGTCTACTAGTATTTGAGCAATATCTTCCGGTCTGACTGTAGCCTGCCATATTTTCCCCTCAACTGAATAATAGCTTGTTACAGCTTCCTATGTTTAATTATAAAGAATAAATACCTTGTGTTATCATCTCCCAATTTTATCCACGTGGCCTTACTCCTTTGTTGCAGGAAGAGTTCAGCCAAGTAAGATGATCTTCTGAATTTCTGATGTGCCTCTTTTTCCTCCTGTTGCAGTTGTTTTTTGTTATGTGGATCCTTCTATAGTGTCTGCTGAACTTGTATAAGAATTTGTCTATCATCTTCCACTCCAGTAAGTATATTTCTGAAATGTTGACCATTTATCGTCCTCAGATCACTCTTCAATAGTTTCATCTTCCTCACTACCCTCATCATTTGACATCTTTCTATGCTCAAGTTCCATCCAGCTTTCAACCTTTCCAGAAATAAAGGGTGACTAGACCACACATTACAATATTTGAATGGCTTCCTTTCTTTCTTTGGGGAGTTCAGCAAAGATAGCTTCATTGGACTATGATCACTGATCCCCTCAGGTAGGAAAGTAGTACTAAAATCAGGCATACTATCCAGCCATTCCGAGTTCACAAATACCTAGCCGATTTTTGAGAAAATTCTGCTTCCACCATGTTTACATGTATACCTGCTCCCCTGTTTTGGCAATTCAAGGATTCCATAGTTCTCCACACATTCATGAAATTCCTTAACTTCAGCCATACTAACTGGATTGCCCCAAATTCGATCATCCATGTGCAATACAACATTAAAGTCTCCCATTATAATTCATGGTTGACTAATATTTACACCCGCTGTTTCTAAATAATTCTACAAAGGTCTTCTTTCCTCTTTGGTGTTGAAAGCATATACCACTGTTAGAATCATTATTTTTTGTAGTGATCTATAAACCACTTCACATGTAATTGCCTGTTCCATACCACTTACCATTCTTATCTAAAAGTAGTTTGTCCTTCAAACTAACCATATTCTTCCATTTTGATGATAGTCTAAATTAGTTATAGACCCCCATCCTTCAAACAATTTGTTGACAACTTGCTCAATCTTGCTTCCTTTTATTTTGGTCTCCACTAGACTTGCCAAACCAATTCTTTCTCTACTACAAAGGAGTTTTACTTCCTTTTGTTTGTTAGGGGTATTGAGGCCCCTAACATTCCTGTATAAAATATTATCCATGTCCTGAGAGAGGTAAGTTAGTACCTCCCCCTTTCCTAGATGGGCTCCTAGGTAACACTGTACTAGCCTCTGGCTTGTCCAATATCTGGAATGAATTATGTTGACCTCCTTCCTGCTCATGATATTTTGGTGGATGTTTGACAGTGTTCAATGGTGTCACCCAAGTTGTTCTTCCTGAGTTCTGGTAGTTCTTTATATTGCTTCGAGTTCCTTCTGTTCCCCCTGTACTCTTCTGTGTATTTCCTTTTTCCTCTTCCTTCTTTCCATTTGTTGGTCTTTGCCTATATTTAGTTGCTGGGATTACATCTTCTTTTATCTACCTTTTTTCTTTTTGATGTTTTGGGGTAGCTGGCTCGTCATTTTTCCTTTTCCTGCATTCCTCCTCTGAGTACCCATATTTATGGCAACAAGCACACAAGGTAGGTTTCCAATCATATTATACCTTTTTCTCAATCAGATTCCATTTCTCATTTCTGAAAATTACTTTATCCGGTAGACTTGAATCTACTTCCACTTCAATCAATAATCTTGTGAAATTCAACCCCATCTTTTTCTCTGTGTTATGGTCCACCATTATAGGTTTTCCAATGAGACTCCCTATTTTACTCAGGCCCTTAGGACTCCAGTATTTGAAGTCCAATCCTAGC